TCATGCAGTGTGTCTGACTCTTCGCGACCCCATGGACTGTAGCCTACCAGGCTCCTCCATCCATGGGATTTTCCAGGCAAGAGTACTGGAGTGGGGTGCCATTTCCTTCTCCAAAATAACTGCTAAATCTTCAGTTAACTTCAGTGGTATGATAGGGTTAGGAATAGGTGTGAATAGAATAATTTTTGAGACAGCTATTTCCTTAACTATTTTTTCTAGTCCTTGATTGTGTGTTTGTTAGTCACTCAGTCATGTCCAACTCTTTGCAACCCCATGGACTGTAGCCCGCCAGGCTCCTCTGTCCATGGGATTCTCCAGGCAAGAATACTGGAGTGGGTTGCCCTTCCCTTCTCCAGAGGATCTTCCTGACGCAGGGATTGATCTGGCATCTCCTGCAACTCCTGCATTGGCACATGGATTCTTTACCACTGAGACATCTGAGAAGCCCCATCTGCATATCATTTTTCCTTAAATAATTAAATGAAAGCTTTTAAAATGAGATATGTTACTCAGTTATCTACTCTCCTTCTACAATAAACTTCTCTTTTGGCTACAGGATTAAAAAAGAGAGAAGAGAGGGAGACGCTGCCATAACAATATTCTGCTTTCCAAATAAAAGAACAAAAAAAAATGCCTAGTTATGTCTAACTAAATTTTGTCAAGTTTGCAATCAAAGCAGGTCCAAAGAATGAATATTACTTCATACTTTAACGTTTGTGAAAGACAAGAATGAGTGGAGAATATCAATATCTAGAACTGAGTAAATAGATTGAAATGAACTGACATTTCATGGTCATTGCCCCAAACTTGCCAAATCTCAGGTGCTCTAGCAGGTTAGAATGTTAAGAAAATCAAAGCACAGAGAATATGCAAACATCTGTGACACCTAAGAGTCTTAAAACCTTCTTACATGCATTATATTATAGTGTTCACACAAGAATATTGTGAGAAAAGCTTCATTTTTTCATACATGCAAAAAAAATAGATTTTTTTCCTACATGCAAAAAAAAAATGAGATTGAAATAATTTTCTAAGGGCAAAATTGCAAATTTGCACTTTCTGATTTCAGCTCAAGAGATGTTTGTATATATTTCAGGTGTTTTTCATTTATAAGTGAAGTTTATCTTTGCACTTTATATATGGAAAATATTTGCTTGGTAATATTTTAAGGGAGATTTCAATCAGTTTAATAATTTAAAAGTAACTATCATTTTTTGCAATTAATAATTTACAGGTTTCATAATGAACACTTTCTAGTCCCTTTGCATACTCAGTCACTCAGTCATCTCTGAATCCTTGCAGTCCCACAGACTAGCCCACCAAGCTCCTCTGTCCATCAGATTTTACCAGCAAGAATACTGGAGCGGGTTGCCACCTCCTACCCAAGGGAGTCTTCCCAACCCAGGGATCAAACCTGAGTTTCCTGCATTGGTAGGCTGATTCTTTACCACTGAGCCACCTGGAAATCCCCTCTATTCTCTCCAGTAAATGTTAAAAGGAGAAGGAGGGGAGGAAAGAAGAGAGTAAATGAAGGAAGAAAAAAGATAAGAAAGAAAGAAAAAAGAAAAAAAAGGAGAGGAAAAGTTTTTCAAAAGAAATGAGGAGAGAAAGAAGAAAAATACCAGAAAGCAAAGAAGCTTAAGTAAAAATACCTTTCTATAAATAAAACATCAATACCACCACCATCTCCCCCCTGCAAATAAGTACTTACATCTCTTGTTCCACAAAAAGGTGTTCATTTATCCATACCCATTGTTTTCCTGGGGATGCAATACACAGTCCAAGCCAACTAGGTTGTCCAGACTTTAAACTCTTCTGTATGAACTCCTATAGGAGAAATAGTATATTCATTCATTCATTCAAAAAAATTTAGGGATGTGAGGGTGATAGGGTTGTGACACCTGTCACCACATTGATCGCCAGGGTTGATTCGGCTGATCTGGCTGGCTAGGTGGGTGTCCCCTTCCTCCCTCACCACTCCGTGTGAGTCCCTCCAGAACTTGTGAGTTCCATCAAAGAGGATGACCATCCCAATAGAGGAGGACCAGTCTTCTGTCAAGGGTATACAAGTAGCTGTACTCGCCTGCTAGAACCTCCAAACAAGCTCTCAAAAAAATGTTGATGCTTTTTATATAGTAAGGCACTGAGCCAGGGATTAATGAAATGATAAATATCTATTTCTTTCAGGATAATAGGGTTTTCAAAAATAAACAATAGTAATTGTAGGCCCCCAGGTGGCCAGAGAGAGCAGAGAGACCAGAGTGCCCTCTACTCCTGGGTGTCCTCCAAGTTTGGCTCCAGCCTCTCCCAGAATCCCTTCCCAGTCACTCCAGAAGGGCCTTTCCCTGACCCCGAGCTGCTTGTTGACCAACGCCCAATGGCCAGTGAAGGTTTACCGGCTCGACGAGGACCAGCAGTGGGACAGTCAGGACACCGGGCATGTCATCCGGCTACGTGGAGTGGCTGAAGGGCATGTCCCTGCTAGTTAGGGCCGGACAAAACATGACCCATGGAGAAGGGGTTGACTGATCACTTCAGGATTCTTGCCTTGAGAACCTCATGAACAGTATGCTGGTTAAGGAATGTTCAAAAGCAGTGACTATGAACCACCCACACTTTGAATTGTACCTAGTGATTCACCCTTGAACACTTAAAAACTGTTTTTGACTCCTCACCAGCTCTTTTGAATTTTGAATCACAGGTAAATGTGCCTGTAGCTTTAAACAATCACGTTGACTTTCATTCCAAGTTTTAGAAAAAGTTGAAAGCCTGTAACATTTTCCTTGATTCAGTAGCCAGTCACTTGGGCACACATAATTAGTTCCTGAAGGAAAACACAGGGGAAAGAAATCAGTTAAACTACAGTCATTAGAGAAAGTGTGAATAGTATCAAATATGATTGAGTGGAAAATAGATTTTTGTCAACTCATTTTTTGTGATTAAAAGGTACCTCATTAGCAGAACAAGAATGAAAGTAATTCAGAATCTATATATTTCCTGGAATGGAGGCAGTGTTCCGGCCTATGGATTGCAGAGAACAAAGCTTATGAACTCTGATCCCATAGTTAGGAGAGATAAATATATATATTTTAAGTGTTTATAACTAATAGAAAAATTAAAAATCTGTTGTATGATTCTTTCCCATATCTGTTTCTAATTTCTTTTCCTTGAGGTTGTCCTTACAACCTACACTTCCTTCCTGTGAGATTACTTTTCATCATCGTTTCTTACCTTATTGTGTTGATTGCTTTTCAATCACATTGCTTCCCTAGTCTCGAATGGCCTTCCCTTCCTCTTCATCCTCTAAATTATGTATATCTTTTAATGATCAACTGCATTTCTGAGGTAGGAGATAGGCCCCTGAGCCAGACAGCTGCTGTTTGTTAAGTGGAGTAAAATTGCAGTTTTGTTCTCAGCCAGACCCTCCAAGGACAAAGCTAGTGGCAGAAGCTGAGCACTACTAAAGTAAAGAGATAAGGTGACCACTTCTGAGGTCAAGGAAAACTCCCCTGTCTGTATGTACACAGGAAGACTCTTTGGGGGTCAAAAATGGAGGGTGCACCATCCCATTATGAGTGTGTACATGTACCCACAGGCCTCTGTTGTGGGATCCATCTCAGCAAAATGTTTTTGTGCACCCATGTTGGGGAGGGTCTGAGGACTAGTCAAGTGTGGGGAAAGACCTGAGATACTTGGCCAAAGGTAAACAAAGACCAGAACTGTCCTATACTAGTGATGTAGATTGCCTCTTTACTGGGCTCTGCCTCATTAGCAAGGACGCCCACACTCTTCCTCTCTGGGTGTGTTCTTCCTCTCTGGGTGTGTATCTCTGCCTTGCTTCTGTCTTAAATAAACAAACAGCTTCTCTGTGTGCTTTCCCACTTTTTACACTGTTTCTAATAATAAACTTTGTGCATGTGTTTACAGTTTTTGCTTCCTTGAAACATTCTTGCTTTCAAATGGGGGAAAGAGCCAGGGCTGCTCTTCATCTAGTCTCTAACCCCTGGTGGGCTAGAGGCTGCTGCTGCTGCTGCTGCTAAATCGCTTCAGTCGTGTCCGACCCTGTGCGACCCCATAGACGGCAGCCCACCAGGCTCCTCCGTCCCTGGGATTCTCCAGGCAAGAACACTGGAGTGGGTTTCCATTTCCTTCTCCGATGCATGCAAGTGAAAAGTCAAAGTGAAGTCGCTCAGTCGTGTCCGACTCTTAGCGACCCCATGGACTGCAGCCCACCAAGATCCTCCATCCATGGGATTTTCCAGGCAAGAGTGCTGGAGTCGGGGGACTAGAGGCTAGGATTCCTGATGGTCATCGAGGCTACCTAGGTTCAATTCTTGAGGAGGGAACTAAGATCTCTCTTTATGACTGCTCACTGCTGTCTCTCTGAGATCATTTTTCACCTCAGAAACAAAGTTTTTAAACAGTCATAATTCCTGCCACCTCTAAGAATCAGAACGCTCTGGTGCCGCTTAACTAAGGATGTATTGTCCATGTCATTGTCACTTGTGAATGACTCCATAACTTTTGTCTGATTGGAAGGTTCTTCAGGTAACTGACATATTCATCTCCTATCATACCTCACTTTAATTATAGTGTCTGAAGGTTGATTGTTGAATGCTTGAATTAAATATCCATAAGTTAGAGCATGTCACACTTTTCATGGCTAATATTTTAGTTTGTCATCTATAAGCTTAAATTTTTTAAAAATTCAGTTTAGGAAATTGAATTAAGATGTCTAGCTATGATGGGAAAACAAAGTTACATCTGCAGACATGACTTGAAGAAGACTATCATGGGCTAATTTTCAATATATAAAACATCAATATATATTTTAACTACTTTCTACTAGAGCAAGAGTTGACAATCCTGAATAACTATAATCTTCCAAAAATACGCGATGACTCAGGGAACTTGGATTCTAATCTCAGCTATGCAAGTACATGCATGCCTGTGTGCTAAGTCACTTCAGTCGTGTCTGAGTCTGTGCAACCCCATGGACTATAGCCTGCCTGGTTCCTCTCTGTCCATGGGATTCTCTAGGCAAGAATACTGGAGTGGGTTGCCATGGCCTTCTCCAGGGGACTTTCCTGACCCAGGGATTGAACTCACATCTCTTATGTCTCCTGCATTGGCAGGCAGGTTCTTTACAACCATGACCACCTGGGAAGCCTGTACAAGTACATAGTCATGTGCTAAAATGACCTTAAATATACTTCTCAATTTATGACTGGAGAGATGCTATTTATTCACTAGTGAAAAGGGGTCATTTGGACAAACTAATCTATTACATGGATTCTGATAGACTGGCCAGTAGAGTACAGGTCTAGAGCTGCAAAACACACTGAAAATACTCCAAATGATCAATGTAATATGCTAAAGCCACAAAAAATGCAAAATGTGGACACCTATTGTCCAGAAGAATTATAAGAGTTAATTCAGTTTCAAGTACCGTGTTCTACAATAAGGAGAAATATCATAAGGATGAGGATGGAGAAAAATACTTATTGAGCAACACTTTGTATCAATTCCTGTCTCAGATGGTTTGCATAATAATAACTAACACAAAATGCCATTACTGTGGGCCAAGCAGGTTTCTAAGCACTTAACATATACTTATTTTTTTAAAACAACTTTATAAAATAGAGAGATGCATTCAATGAAGCAATGGAGATAGACACAGTAAAACCCAGGACATAAGAAATTAGACACAACCATAATCCATTTTTTTTAACATTAAATAATTGTCTCTGTAGGAAACAAAAGGAAGTAAGGAGAATGTACAGATTTAGATACTCAAGAGACATTTTAGCTGATGTAACTTCTTTGCTCTGATTTTAACAAATAAAATAGGAAAAAAATGTAATGCTGATAGAATAGTAGATGATATTAGGAGGTCATTGCCAACTTGGTTTTAGGAATTGTGGTAGAATTCTAAAATGGGCCCAAGGAGACGTCAGATGGTGCAGCTGCTTTGGAAAACAGGGGCAGTTCCTCCAAATATTCAAGCAAAGAATTGCTATATAACTCAATAATTCTATTCCTAGGTAGGCACTGCCGTATATGAAATGAAAACACACCCACACTCACCTCAAGAAAGAAATGGTAACTATGTGATGTGACAGAGATAGAAATCATCTTACAATATATGTATAATAAATCAACCCATTGTACACCGTAAACAAACACAGGGCTTATAGTGACATTGTGATTGTGTTAAACCCTTAACTGTCAGAATCACATACTAAAATATTTAAATATTAAATGGCATGATAGCTGGTAATTGCTTTAATAAAACCTAGTATGAGAGTGTGATAGAGGTGGAGATATAGATGAGATAATCTTTGTTACATATTGATAACTGTTGATACCAGTTGAAAGGCACATGGAGATTTATTATATAATTCTTTCCACTTTTAGTTATATTTTGCATAATACAAATCTGTTTAGTGCTAAGTTGTGTCCAAATCATTTGAAATCCTGTGGACTGCAGCCCACCAGGCTATTCTGTTCATGGGATTTCCCAGGCAAGAATACTGGAGTGGGTTGCCATTTCCTCCTCGAGGGGATCTTCCTGACCCAGGGATCAAACCCGTGTCTCCAGCATTGGCAGGTGGGTTCTTACCACTGAACCACCAGGGAAATGTAATAGAAATACAAGAATATAATAAAACAAACCTTATGAAGTAGATATTATTATGCTCAATTTACAGAGGAGAAAGTGAGTCACATAGACATTATCCTGAAGTCATACAGAAGATAAATATTAAAGCTGAAGTTTCAACCCAATTACTTTGATTCCATAACCCATGTTACTAATGACTGAATCATGCCATCCTGCTCTATGCTAATTGGTATGTTAGAGTTCTTCAGAGAAGTAGAACTAACAGAATTTTGTGTCTGTGTGTGCATGTTTAAAGAGAGAGAAAGAATGAGAATGAAAGGAGAGAGAGATTTTAAGGAAGTGGCTCACGTGGTCATTAAGGCTGGCAAGTCCAAAATGTTCAGGCTGGCAGGTTGGAGACCCAAGGAAGAGTTGGTGTTGCAGCCCAAATCTGAAGGCATTCTAGAGGCTTAATTTCTTCTTCCCCTGAAAACTTCAGTATTTTTCTCTTAGGGTTTTCAACCGATTGGGTGAAGCCCACCCACATTCTGGAAGGTGATTTGCTTTACTCAAAATCTATTGACTTACATATTAACATAACCTAAAAAGTACTTTCACAACAACATTTAAACAAGTGTTTGATCAAATATCTGGGTATTGTGCACTGCCTAACCAAGTTCACACATGTAATTCGAACAGTTATAATTGGTTCAATCTACACGAAACATTCCATGATGTTAGCTATTACATTCTTCCTTTGCAAGTTTTCAAAACTAATGTTTAATTTTCCTAAATTCGTGTAACCAGTTAATTGAAATCTTTGATTCAAACAAAACAGCACATTACAGACAGATGATTACCTGCTAGGCCGGTGATATTAGCTTTCTGAAAGAAATCCATTTCTCTATCTGCACTCAATGCAAAGGGAAAAATAGAAAGAGAAACTTAAAATGGATAGAAGTCTAGGTATATGAAAATAAGCATGCTAGCACAAAATAAAAGCATACAAATAAAAATTCAAAATCTCTCTTTTCTGCTATGCCTTTATTCCCCTCTGTCCTGAGAGTTATCTACTTTTTACCATATCTATTTTTACTGCTTTAAGTACTAATCAAAGTTCCAAATATTCTGTGCCTTCTTAAAATTCATACCTTTTACGTTTTTGTATATTATTTTTTTCACTGAACTTTTTAATTGATATTATTTCATCTTTTTGCAGGCATACACACAAGAAACTCCTTTCACCTTATTAAGTTCCTTCAGCTTCTTATTTGCATTGTCTGTAGATTTTTTAACAGAATGAATTAATTGCTTTCCAGAACACAGAACAGCTGACAATCTGAAAGGACTTTTGATTACATTCCCAGGCTAGTTTCACTCTATCTAAAATTAGCCTCACCCCCTTATTTGTTCCAAAAGAATGCATAAAAAACTTACATTAAAATCAAGATTGTTCATAATTTTTAGAACATTGCTACAGTGTTATAATTTTATGTCCATTTGAAAATGTGAGGCCAATTTGTCTTTTCTTTGAGAGGAAATGAATTCTTCATGTAAACGTTTAGGGTCATGTCTTTGTCTGTGGTGTTCTGAAATACAATGAATCTATTCTGTCTATCAATTGCTTTAGGAGCATTTTTATTTTTTATTTGTTTTTGATATGATATGATGGGAAATGTCACTATAAGCAGAGTAAGAGGCTGTCAAGACACAAGTCTAAAAGAGCATACCATAAAGTCTTCCTATTAATGACTTTGCTTCTGCACTCTTATCTTTGAAAATGGACTCCTCTCCAGGATTTGCTGTGAGTAACCGCTTCCTCTACATTGAAGCCATCTATTAACCATTTTCTGAACTGTGGTTCCCTCCCTTGATTTATCCAACAGCATTAGCCCATCCACTTTTCATTTTCTTTACAATTTTCTTCATTTACCCTTTTGTGTTTCTATTCATTTTTCTACTTAGGTTTTTATTTATTTATTTTTTACTATTCTAATATAAAATCTTGGGAAAGAGTGTAAGTAAATATTTATGGTCAATACTTTGTTTTGGACTAGAAGCACGGAAAGTATTTTTAAACTGGTCAAAGTATAAGCAAAAATCTAAAAGAAACACCAATATTAAAATTGTCACTAATTTATTTATATATATATATAAATAGTAAAGAATATTATCCCCACTAATATTTTTATCAATGTATTAAATTTTATTGGTTTCCTTGAGCCCTATATTTTCAAAAACTACAGTTTCAAGGGAAAGTTATAGAAACCATGAATTAGTCTGGTTGCTTCAAAAGAAACAATTACAGAATACATACATTAACTACTACTTCAGAAAAAAAAGTGTGCAGATACTTTTCAATCACTGTCCTGTCTCTCAAAGTGATACCAATGAGTACATACTTTTAATAAAAATACAGTAGTAATTTCTTAATAAAATAGCGCCAATCTTTTACTGGAGGTTCTTCATAAGAAGAGGTATGGAATAAGTATTAATTTTGTACTTGAGTGTTTCCTAATTTTTCTTAATTTAAAAATAATTTTGTAATATGACATATATAACTGGTCAACTTACCAATATTGAGATACAGTGTGGAGCTTATGTTGATAGTAAAAGGAACTAAAGATCAACTATTATTTTTGAAAGTGAAAAAATAAATTAAAATTCCATACTCACCTCGAAAGTTCAGGCCAATTACTGCCATCATGACAATAAGGGTGCCAATGCATCCAAGTACTAGCATGAGACAGTAACACTGTAGATACAGGGTGACATCTGAAACATTGACATTTTTTTTCAAAAATTTTAGAAGTCTGTGACTATTTACTTTGTATACATTTTTCTGTATTGTTTTTATTACAGAGAAAATCTATGTTCATTTTAGATACAGCATTAGAATCTATGATTAATGTATGTATAAGCTTTTTACTTTATTTGTGTTTAATCTTTAGTTTATAATTTTAATTTATGCCCAAATTATGACAAAAAAAGCATGATTAATTGAAGTTTTATTTATTTATTTATTTATTTCTATTTATTTTTATTAGTTGGAGGCTAATTACAATGTTGTAGTGATTAATTGAAATTTTAAAATACAATACAAAAGCAGAGAGATGCTATGGTTATTGAATGTGTTGGATTATACTGAAATTGTCTTGCTTTGTTGATTGTTTGGTGACTTTTGATGACTTACAATGACATTAAATTGTTTCTGCATGAATAAATATAATGTATATATGTATATATGTATGAACAATATATCATGTATATAATGTGCAGTAATATATTAAGGGGTTTGGGGAGAATGGATTTATATTTATGTATGGCTGAGTCCCTTTGCTATTCACTTGAAACTATCACAGCATTATTAATAAGCTATACCCCAACACAAAATAAAAAGTTTAAAAAAGTAATTAAAAAATTTAAAAATATAAAATAGGAGATGCAAAAGTAATATACTAAAGGTATGAAACATTAGTATATAAAATACAAAATATATAATTTATATTCTATATGTAGAATAATATCTATATCAGCTACTGTCATGTATATTATTTATTTTAATGACTCACTATAACAAATAAAAGAACATTTATTGAAGTTCTATTACTGTACCAGTCACTGTACTGAACATATTTCCATGTTGTTCCACTTTTACATATGCTATACTGTATTTTCCTGGCTTTGATATTTTGGACAGAAATCAGCATCAGCCTAAACAGCATAGATCTTGATTAATGAAGCTTATCTAGAATTTATGCCATAGTACTCCTCTGGCTCAGATTTGGCAGGAATGGTCCCTTTACAGAGGAGAAAACAGGGAACTTCCAAATACCTTAAGTAGGGATACTATGTTAAGATCCTCTTTCAATTTTAATCTATTTTTGGTCACATACAAAAGTAGAAAGACCTCTGAAAAAGTGAAGGTGAAGTTGTGTCCGACTCTTTGCAACCCCATGGACTATACAGTCCATGGAATTCTCCAGGCCAGAATACTGGAGTGGGTGGGTAGTCTTTCCCTTCTCCAAGGGATCTTTCCAATCCAGGGATTGAAACCAGGTATCCTGCATTGCAGGAGGATTCTTTACCAGCTGACCCACCAGGGAAGCCCAAGAATACTGAAGTGGTTTGCCCGTCCCTTCTCCAGGGGATCTTCCTGACCTGGGAGTTGAACTGGAATCTCCTGCATTACAGGCAAATTCTTTACCAGCTCAGCTACCAGGGAAGCCCCAAAGATCTTTACTTCACCAAAAATACTCATAATACATTTTCTCAATTTTATGACCAGATATCAGTCCTGGGCACATAGATCTGCAGTTAACAGGTTCTGTACTTGCCAGAGAGGACAATTTTAAGTTTAATGCCAAATATTATTATAGTTATAAATTAAAAGCCAATGGTCTTTTACATAAGCCACAATTTACATACTGTATCAAGCCAGGTACCTGAAGTGCATTGTACTGATCCATTCTATACCCACTTAACTGGTTGCCATTAGCCTAAGTGGTTCAATATTAAGAAACTGCTCTTTGAATTCCATTATTATCACTCCTGCAAGATTATTAGTTGTGTTATTCATATCTGCTTTATGTTGGGAAATTTTCCTTGCCTGGTGGGCTACAGTCTATGGGGTCGCAAAGAGTTGGTCACGACTGAGCAGCTAACACTTACTAGCTTACTTACTTACTTATGCAATAAGTGTAACTTTATTTTACAATATAAGTCAAATAACTGGGCAGGTTTTCTTTTCACTCATCAATAATAAGCAAGCTTAGAATCCAATTTATCAAACACAAACATGCTTAATATGTAATTTCTGCTGAATTACAAGCTTAATATATGTTGCCAGTCCTTTTCATCTTTCCCTCATAATTTAAATGGATGTTATCTTATATTCTATGTATCTATACTCAGATTTCATATCTATACTCATATTTCATTTCTCTACTCTCTTGTCTATTACAAGGTGGTTTATACATTAAAGAATATATAGTTAATAATTTAGTTTCATTTACTGTAATGTCTACATTAAAAAAATCACAATATAGGGACTTCCCTGGCAGTTCAGAGGTTAAGACTTCACACTCCCAGTGCAAGGGGCACAGGTTTGATCCCTGCTCGGGGAACTAAAATCCTGCATGCTACATGGCACAGCCTAAAAAATAAATTAAAAATAAAATAACAGGAAGAAACATCCATAAAAAGAGGGGAGCATAAAATGAAAGTAGATATTTAAATAAACATTAAAAAGAGAGAGAGAAAATCACAATATAAATTTGCTTTATTATAAATAAGAGTATTGAGATTTAAAAGAAAAAAAGAAATTGTCAAAGGTCAGGCACTTTGTGGGGCTTAGGGTTGAATTCAGTCCATTTGACTCAATTTGACTCTCATTCCCAATGCATTATTCTGCCAATTCCACGGATCTTTTGTGAACATTGAAAATATGTAAGTATAAAAATGACTTTAAGGCTATAAAACACTATATAGCACTGCTACTCCCACCATCAATACTCGCTCTTTACCTTTGAAGTATAATAGATGTCTTCATGTACATAACACACCCAAATCATTGTGTAGCTTTCTTATATTTTGTAAAAGAAATAATTTATGCAAAAATACTGTTTTTGACCTTTTGGTTGAAAGTTGCATTCTTATTCTATTCAAAGTATTTCTACTTTGAAGGGATTATACATTATCCTATTAGCATTTCTCCGTACCCATGGCTGCAAAAATCGTCTTTTTATGGTTGATGCTTATAGACGTCTGAACAGTTTATCTTAGACCATTCATGATCATCTTTTAAAATCCCAGAATATGGTTAACTTAAAAACATTAGCGATAATTTTGCTTCTAAGAGAATAACACAACCTTAAACTGGAGTCTAAATGAAGGGGACTAATATTCCTACCTTTAGATTTTTTTGTCGATTCAAAGCGATTCTTGAATTTCAGCCTCATATAGCCATCTTCATTCTCCATTTCCTCAAATGTTTTCATATAATATTACCCAGAAAATAGGAAAAATAAAATAGAGAATAGCCTCAGCCGTGAATACTTCTCCTAAGCACGATATACCAAAAGCTAAAGGGAAGTCCAAAAATAATCAAAATTCACTCTGGCAGGGCTATCTAAAACCACACAGGATATGTTGGTGAATGAAAATGAAGAGACATGTTGATTTCTAGATAAAATTCTGTATGTTGCAAGGTAAGAGTGGTTTTTTTGTTTGACTCTTTTCGACTACCTTGTTATAAATAGACAAATAACTTGGCTGAATTATGTTCTGGTGTTGTGGAAGGCAGAAATTGTGAGAAGTGAAATTGAATATTTTGCTAAGGAGATGTCTAAGCAAAGTGTTGAAGGTTCTGCCAGGGTATCCTTACTATTTATAGTAATATGTGAGAGGTGAGAGATAAATTAAGAAATCATTAAGCAAAGAAACCAGAAATTAAAGATTTGGAAAATTCTCAGCCTACCCATATAAAGGAAGTAAAAAGGCATGCTCCAGAGGAAAGACCAAAAGTATGGCCAGACAATCATTCCATAAAGAGACTATGCATAATTTTAATTAGCCGTATATCAGCCCACTAGGGGTTGCAGTGGTAGAGAATCTGCCTGCAAATGCAAGAGACGTGGGTTCAATCCTGGGTGGGTAGATCCCCTTGAGTAGGAAATGTCAACCTGCGCCAACACTCTTGCCTGGGAAATTCCACAGACAGAGGAGACTTGTGGGCTAGAGTCCATGGGATCAAAAAGAGTCGAACACAACTGAATGACTGAGCACACACACACAAACACACATCATCACCATCATCAGAAGCCATGAATAAAGGTAGAAATATACCAGCAGAGACAGTGCAGGTGTGAAATAAATGAGGCAGAGGTAAGCTAACATAAAGGACGATTTTTAGACTTCTGGAGCTATCCAGCTGTGAGCATGCTTTATCCTTCAAGAAGGATAGTCCTGAAGACCATTTGGGGATCATCAGGGTTACTACTCCCACCACAAGCCTAGAGCACGCAGAAATGAGCAAGGGTGAGGAATGGTGACAAGACTATTTCCTCCTGGATTTCTGAATGTGGGGCCACCTCCTCAGCTTCAGCAGAGAGGGCCACCCCCATTCAGAACCTCAAGGACAAGGCCATCACTCAGATCAGAGGAGGCAGGGTCTCCACCTAAGACCCTGGAGATGACGCTGCTCTTCCAGTAGACCCAGAAAGCAGAACATCCAGTCAAAGAGGATAATTCTTGAGACTTCAGGGCCAATGGAATTTGCCTCTCCAGAATTTGGACTGGCATAGAACCCATGACTACATTATTCTTTCTGATTTCTACCTTTTGGAGAGGGAGTGTCTGCCTTGAGCCTGCCTCATCCTGTATTACAGAAGCACATAACTTGGATGGTTTCACAGCTACAGAGGCATTTTTCCTTGGGATGTATCACACCTGGAGTCTTACCATCTCTGATTTAGATGAAACTGTCCACTTGGAATTGATGGATGGGTTGAGATTCTTGAGGCTGTTGGGTTGAATGTATTTAACATGTGAGAAAGACATGACTTTTGGGAGACAGAAGACGGAAAATTATGGGCTAAGTTTTGTCCCTCAAAGTTCAGACATTGAAGCCCTAACTTCAAATGTGACTGTATTTGGAAACAGGGCCTTGATCAAGATAATTAAGGTCGAATGAAGACACTGGGTGGAACCCTAATCTTATAAGATTGGTTCACTTGTTAAAAGGGATGAGACTCCAGAGAGTGCTCTCTCTTCTTGCACACAGAAAAAAAAAAGGTAACATGAGGACACAGTGAAAAGACAGGCATCTGTAAACCAGGAAGAATGATCTCAGCAGCCATCTACCTTCTGGCACCTTGACCTTGGATTTTCAGTTTCCAGAACTGTGAGAAAATAAATTTCTATTGTTTAAGCCACCATGTATTTTTTTTATGGTGGCCTGAGAAGTTGCCATAACTGAAGTCACTCTGAGGGTGGACTCGGCATTTATTAGGATTTATACTAGTCATGGTATTGAAGAGGACCTGCTTTCTCTTTCAATAACTGATGTCCAATCATTAAATAAAATCATTATTGAAAATTACATTATCTAAACTTAAATAACTCATATTAAATGCAAAATATATACACTACTATGTATAAAATAAAAAACTAATGAGCACCTACTATATAGCCCAGGGAGCCCTAGTCAATGTTCTGTGGTGACCTAAATGGAAAGGAAATCCATAAAATAGGGATTATGTGTATATGTATAGCTGACTCACTTTGGTTTACAACAGGAATTAGCACAAAGTTGTAAATTAACTATGCTCCAGTAAACTTAAAAAAAAAAACAAAGGTAATTAAAAACACATAAAAATTCAAAGCTGTGGCTTTTCTAGCAGTCATGTATGGATGTGAGAGTTGGACCATGAAGAAAGATGAGCACAGAAGAATTGATGCTTTTGAACTGTGGTGTTGGAGAAGACTCTTGAGAGTCCCTTGGACTGCAAGCAGATTAAACCTGTCAATCATATAGGAAATCAGTCCTGAAGATTCTTCGGAAGGACTGATGTTGAAGCTGAATCTCCAAACTTTGGCCACCTGATGCAAAGAATTGACTCATTGGAAAAGATCCTGATGCTGGGAAAGATTGAAGGCAAGAGGAGAAGAGGAAAGCAGAGGATGAAATTGTTGGATGACATCATTGATTCAAAGGACATGAGTTTGAGCAAGCTCCAGGAGTTGGTGATGGACAGGGAAGCCTGGCATGATACAGTCCATGAGGTCACAAAGAGTCAGACATGAGTGAGCAACTGAACTGAACTGAATAAAAACACAGAAGTCACCAGTTTGTTTTTTTTTATTAGTAGTAGTATTGTGAAGCTATTTATACACAGGTCTGTATTTATACACAGATCTGCTACTGCACATCTGTATTAAATTCTAGTGTATTTATACACAGATCTGCTACTGCACATCTATGTTAAATTCTGGTATTCAGTAATGTCACAAAGGTAGCTTGCAATCAGCCACAGTGGGCATAATTGCATCATAGAAACCACTGAATTATTACAATTAAAAAGACTGACCATATCAAAAGTTGCCATTGATGTGAAATCACTGGAACCATTCTACATTAATGATGGACATAGTACAATTTCTTTGGAAAATGTTATATTTTTATAAGCTGTTTTAAACATATTTTCATTGAATAAGAAAACAGCTTGTGGTAAAATTTATAACCAAAAGTTTGTATTTAATGCTTGCAATCTGAAGAGTGTGGACATAAGCCAATAATAACTTCAGCACAACTAAGATGGTAGACATACCCATCACCTTCCAGATCACAACTGGAGTGTTCTTATCACAAAAGAGAGAGAAAAGACAAAAATATATATTTTCTATCTGACCTAGCAATTCTACTCCCAGGTATTTCCTCAAAAGATAAGAAAATATATGTCCACAGAAAGACTTTAACAGAAATATTGATGCTAGTTTTATATATAGTAGCAAAAGTCGGAAACAACTCAATGGGCTAGTGATAAGCAAAACTTTATAAATCCACACAATGGAATACCATGTAGCAGTAATAAAGAATGAACCATTTGTCTATGCAACCATGTGGATGAAACTCAAAAGCATTATGCCGAGCAAAAGACACTAGACTCACAAAGAATGCATACTGTGTGTTTCTGTTTATACAAAATTCTAAAACCAGCAAAATTTATCTCCATTAAGAGGTTAGCGGCTGCCTGCTTCCACAAGGTAGGGAAATGAATTGCAAAGATACATCAGGGAACATTTTGAAGAAATGAAAATGTTTTATATTTTGAGTCAAATTTTATATCTTGAACTTCCTTTGGAACAAAAGTAAATTTCACTCAACCATGGTATTGTGGTTTTCGTTTCAGACCACCACAATAAAGTTAAGATTGCCATAAAGCAAATCACACAAATGTTTTGGTTTTCCAGTGCATATAAACTTTATATTTATATGATATTATAGCTTACTAAGTGTGAAATAGTTATGTCTAACAAATGTACGTAGCTTAATTTTTAAATATTTTATTGCTGAAAAATGCTCACCATCTCTGACATACAGGGTTGGTACAAACCTTCAACCCGTAAAAAATGCAGTATTCAAAAAGCACAAAAATACAAAGTGTGTCTGTATTTTCCTGTATGAGTTCCTAATAGTCCTATGTATAGAATGCTTTGGTGATGGCATAAGTATAGAGTATGTTCATTTTCCCTCAAACTTTCTGTCTTCTTTCTGTCCCCAAATGGAAACTGTGGAATCCTATACCAAGGTCACAAGTGAGAGGCCTTGTACTAAGGCCACAGACAAGGAGCCCAGCACCAAGGTCATCTCCAGAACTTACTGAGCCTCATGGCAACTGTTGCCATGAATCCCCCTAATCTAAACTGGCCAGCTCCCTGATACCATATTAGGTAAAAATACCCACCCTAACCAGTCACCTAATGACATCCTTCCACAGGAATTTTCTTTGTCTTGAGGCTATAAAAACTGGCTACTAGCCCAGAAAAGTGTCAGCTCTCCCTTGAGCCGGCCCACTGTTCCAAGAGTGTCTAGCATAGTAATAAGCTCTATTCTCCTCTCATTCTGTCTCGAGTCTGGAAACTTTTTCCCAACCACTGCAAAGACCACGGCAGAAACAGTTTTATCTGTCCTTCCTTCTGCATTTTACCTTGCATAATTTCACTTCAGGTGGTGACTGAACTGACCAGCGGAATATCTTTGAGACCACCTGGAAGAGTTTAAGCCTTTACTTCTTATTTTCATCACGCTTTCTTACTCTACTTTCCTTTCTTCTTATTTCCTTCTCCTGCCTCAGTGTCCCTTGTCAGACAGATGTAGTGTTGATCCCAAAGCAGTCACTGGCACACCAGCTGCTTTTCTTTACTTTTCTGCCTCCTCTTTAATTTTTTAATACATTTTATTGATTTATTTTGGTTGTGC